TACCGTGGCAAGTGGCAAGTTTTGTGTTCAGCTCGTGGCGATTCATCGGCGCCTCTCGTTAGAGCCCCGTCAATGCCGCCTTAGCACTCCTCATTATTGCGTTTATAAAGCCCCTATAGAGCGGCCTGATTCACTAAGACTCGCTCCGTTGGTGAAAGAGAAAATGCCATTGTGTAGCTGTTTTGCTAGCTGTCCTTTTTCCTTCTTTGAGCTGGTGTATCTCTATTTTGCTGATATTATGTAGCTGCATTGTGAGTGTAACGACTTGCGCCCAGTTCCATTGTTAAAGTTATACGCTTAAGTAATAGTCCGTTATAAACAACAGTGTTACTTTTGACACGACCAACCTACTTTTTGGGCTTTGATTTATAATGCAATTTCGGCTTGTAGTTATATTACCGACAAACTTTAATTGCCTTGTGATTTTAAAGAGACGTTATTTAGTGTGTTAAAATTTAAAATATTGATACGATTCATTTTCTGAAACTCCATTAGAAATAATTCTTTATTATTATGATTTAATAGCTAAAAACGGTTTTATCGATACTTATCGTGCCATAATGAATAGGTTGTTTTCAAGACATAAAAATACGTCAGGGTGTGAACATAATATAAATAACTATAATTGGCATTTATCCAAATTTATGTCCGTTTTAATTAATACATATCAGCCGTTCGTGACTTATGGTAGCAACAATAAAAGCTTCGGTGATATCATTGCACTAACAAATATCTATTACCTATTATTATGAAAATTAGCGGCTATCTGGTGAAATTTACGATAGCTCTCAAATATTAAGGCAAACTCAATATTGTTATTTATTATCTATTTATTTTAAAATATTGCCCATATTGTATTTAAATGTTACGGATACTGGAGTAAATTTTGATATATAGATCAGATTTGAACATTGCGAGATACAATAAAATGGAATGATATTTCTTTCAATCTTTCGACAATAACGGGGCAGAATCATAAGTTTGTTTTGGTACCTACTTAAAATGATGGTTACGGAAATTTTTATTCTAGAAAATGAGAATGTCTGTTGAGTTCTTTTCTTCAATCCAACAATGAAATAACGCACAGATGTATCTTTATATGTATTTAGTTTACTGATTTGATGGTGATATACGCTACTATTCTCTTATATGCAGGGTAATATTAGTATTCTGATAAAGTAAGGACGTTTTAACTGTTCTATAATAGAGAAACCGATTCAACACTGATTTGGTTTCAGTATTAATTTACATTCGGGAAGGATAGCTAGGTACGCACCATCTCGAAGGCTTTGTGTTGTTTTTGAATCGAGCTATTAATCCAATCTAGCCTTGGAGGTTTCGTATTAAATACTAATAGTAGTTACTGCTGAATAGTTAGCGGGCCTAGGAGCGGCGCTCAACCCAACTGCCGGTCAAGTTTTCTCATTATGTGCCTCAGTGCTCGTCCCCACTCACACTATTGCTTACTTTTGTCTACCGATCAGGCGTCCTGCACACATACTACACGTTCCATTCAACCCGAGTGGCATTCACACATAGCCCTGCTATTTCAATACGTCGAACGTAAAACTTTCGGCTTAAGCCGTACTGTTTTAAAAACGGCAGCGCACGACTTAAGCAACTCATAAAAGTGGAGAGGGCCAAGATATTTTCTTGGGGAGAGCGCGAAGCGGTTAGCCGACTTTTACACTGGTTTTATTGTCTCGGCTCCCCTCGTAAACCGTCCTTTGTGTTAGTAACGTCTCAAGTTGTATTAACACCGTGATAACTTTAGTAGAAGCCCTTCGGTGGGCACCGTGCCTCGCCCACAATTAGACCAAACTAAACGGATAGTTTTGATAATAATTTAAATGGATCCGATGACGTTAGCCTTTAATATTATGAAAGGTTTCTAAGGAGCCCTTTGGTATTGAATTCAACAAGCAGCAACTGTAATAATACATTAACGTCGACCCTTCGCGTGAACTCAACGATGTTTACTTTTCATGATGTAATTAGATCCTGACAGTGAACTATGAGTTCATCAGTTGTAGACAGTTTTATTTTTACTATATAGTTTATACAGGTATCAAAAGTATCAAAACAACAATACACAAAGAATAATTCGATTCCTATAAAGCTTTTTGTTATCCGAAACAACATTAGGCAGTCAGTAACAAACAAAACAAAAGTCCGTTACAATTATAAAATCCCGCATCCAAACGCTATAACACTCTAACTTTTCAATAAGGAAATATTTAATTTCCATTTGAAGAGCTTCCGCCAGCCGAAAATAAAACAAAAACTTGAAAACACACGGGATTTTATGAAAGGAAAACGGGAGTACGCGCTGTTCATTTTTGAGGGTAGAGGCGTGCGTTGATTTTAGCGACAAGAATTTTCCAACGAATTTGGCGGTTTCAATCGATGACGTCGGTAATGGGAAAGTTCAATAGGCAACAACAAAGGCCGACATAAGTTAACGAAGCTCACGAAAGCGAAATTCACGACGGAGCGCACTCCGACGGACAGGAAATTAAAAGACAAAAGAGTGCCGGCCAGAGCAGTTTAGGCTCGGAAATGGAGGGTGTGCCTGACTCTTTCGCATCTTTTCATAGGCTGCTTCCGACCACGGGCACCTTTGCTATGACTAACGTTGAATGCTGATACAACAGTTTATTCCAAATGAAGACAATAAAAGGTCAAAAATTTATTAATCACTTATGTTTGTGTGTTTGTATGTTTGTTACTCATATAGTTTATAGCCTAGAGTGAGACATAGGATACTTTTCCTCCCGGAAAAATGACGAGGTTCAGGGGATTCTCAAAAAAAATAAGTTAACCTAGACGAAGTCGCAGGCGGCTGCTAGCAATGTATAAACATTCATATTCAATAAGGCAATAAAACATAATTATAAGTTGGTAATATTATACAGATTCTATCCATTGGCATACAGTATCATTCTGAAAGCTACATCTAATTCATACCTACCACTTACTAATTTAAGTACATTAAATAACTAACTCAATTGACTCGCGCACGAAGGGTCACGTCCCATTATGTATACAACATTAGCCACTATATTATAATATCGAACAAAAAACTTTAAAAGTTACTTCTGTTGTATGGGATGTACGTAAAAAAAGTTCTGTTTTTAGTATTTGTTGTTATAGCGGCAACACAAATACATCATCTGTGAAAATTTCAACTGTGTAACTGTAACGGATAATGAGATACAGCCTGGTGACAGACAGACATACAGACAGACGGACAGTGGAGTCTTAGTAGTAGGGTCCCGTTTTTTCCCTTTGAGTACGGAAAAATGCAATTACTGACTATCGCATTTGCCTCGTTTTCTTTTGCTTTGATTCGTTTAATGTACAAGTTTTATCGAAACATTTAAGGCATGATATTATTATTGCAGTTACTTTGCTAAATGTATCATCCTATTTACTACGCTCGAATTTACATTAAAAGAAATGTAAGTCAAACTAAATCAAGAGTAATCTGTTTAATTTAAAGGCAAATTTCAAGCTAAGGGAGGAACGAATGGGAAAATGATTAACTCGCTATCTTTTTGGTTCACGTGATCTACGATGCATTTGGAATGTTGAATTAATCCGGTTTAATACGGGGATGTCTGATGTGTATCAAGTGTGTATACGTATGGTTTCTGTAATTCAGGCAGTCTGCGTAATCCATTCATGTCGGGTGCTATCATGTTACTAGGGGAGACGGGTCTTCTTGCATCCTCAATCCTCGTATTTACTTAACATTTTGGGTGAAATCGTTTCGAGATCTAGAACATCTGAAAACATTAATTATCTCTAACTACAAACCAATTTAGGAAAGTTTGCAGTTTTACTCGACGTTTCTGTCGCAACATTTGGAAAATCTTATTTATCTCCCGTTATTTATTATTCTTGTCAAATCTGATAAATTTGTCTGATACCTAACTTGTTTGTTGGGTAAATGGTTGTTGTTTGTTAGCATAATATAGCCGACAATAAATGACAAAGTGGCAGAACCAGCTCGACACTCACAACTTTGTTTCCTAATTTAATTTGCATTTCGAATCAAAAACTTTTCGTGACACTGTTTTGCATTATTAATACTTTAGCATGGCGTGATCTCCCGGGAGGCGCACTAGAAGCCATAAATTGAATTCCAACCTTCGCAATTAGTTATTCCCGCGCGTGAAAACTTTCGAGATCGTTCGCCTTCGTTAACAGATGTTACGGTGCTATTCATTATACATTCCGTCGAATTGTAAAGCCGAACATTTAATTTAAAGTACCTAACGCTCCTTTGTTAAATAGACGAACATTTTGGAAGGCATTGTTGAGGAGCCGTTCGCGCGGAGGATTAGCGATGCCGACGGTAGCCACTAACTTCCCGCTTTCCTCAAATTGTCAGATGGTGTAAATATCCGAATGTTGATTACAAACGGGTGGAGGGTGGTTTAATCAATCTTCGTAGCATATTAAAAGGAAGACCAATAAAGGTAATAGGATGACTGATACTCGTATTATCAACAGATAAAGAAGTCTCATGCAATTCTGTGCGTCGGAAGTCTAATGGAAGATAAAAAAGTTTCTGTAGTGAAGATACCATTTCGCTACCGCCGCCGCACGTTTCTTATCGGCCTAATTTGGATCAAACAATTCCATTCCCTTCATACAAATTGCGGAGGGGCACATTTGTTATCTGCAGTTTTCGCCAGAAATTATATTAAGATTTCGACGAGCGATAATGTTGTGTATTTTTACTTGCCGCTCCCGCAGCCTAGGGCGTACCCTCAGGGAGCGTCCGGATTTTATGATAACAATAAATTACTGGAAAAATAAACTAGATTCCATCTATTTTGTGGCAATGACATTTTGTTTTAAGAGTGTAGGGATGTTTACGACAATAACGTTATCTACGTATTCGTGTTGTTTAAATTAATGTTCTCGGTAGGCTTACATATTGTTTGTTATTCGTCAATTTGCTAAAATGTTTCTTTTTTATTTGGTTTCAGGTTTTTGGTGGCGTATACATGAGATGTTATGGGTGCACGCGGCCTAGCGAAGTGGCGTTGGTGTCTGGTGGTGGTGGCGTGGACGTGGGGTGCTGCCGCTCGCACGCTCTGCCCTGCGCGATGCGCCTGCGACGACGCGTTGCGAGCTGCCTCTTGCGCCAATGCAGGCCTCGAAATCGTGCCCATACAGCTCAATCCAGAAGCTACCCACATCAACCTCACACACAACTCAATAGACAATCTGCTTTATACGTTCGCCTTCTACACCCAACTAACCATACTCGATATCTCATACAACAAAATACAAGACTTAGGTAGTAAAAATTTCGAAAACAATCTGGAGATGACCCATCTCAATGTCAGTCATAATTTCCTCAAACGACTTGATAAGGACACATTCGTCGGTCTAAAAGGTCTACTCGATTTGGATTTGTCTGATAATGAAATATCAAATATACATGCACAAACATTCAAAAGTTTGTCTGGTTTGGAACGCCTTGATTTATCAAATAACAAGCTCGTGAGCTTTGAAGCGAATACTTTTGAACCCCTGAATGCTCTGAAGATCTTATCTCTCAAAAACAATTCAATTTTAGATATACCTTCGGAAAATCTCTTGTTTATAGTACATCTAGAATATTTAGATTTGTCTGAAAATTTAATACAGATAGTTTCCAAGCATGGTATACCATATTTAAAGGAATTGAAAAATTTAGACTTGAATAGCAATATCATTGAGAGTGTGGACCAATTGGGATTTCATCGATTACCCTCACTGAGGCATTTGGATCTTAGCGACAACAACATGACAACGATTCCCACCTCAGCTCTTTCGAAACTTTCGAACTTGTCGCACTTGTACCTCAGTGGAAACTTCTTTCAAAACGTAACAGCGCTCTCGTTTCAAAGTTTGTTCCATTTAAAACATTTACATTTGAGCAGACTTTATGAACTAGATAAAATAGATTCGAGAGCTTTTGTTGACAACATAAACCTACAAAAGATATGGATGAATGAAAATGTTAAGATCAGAGAAGTTCCGCCGAGATTATTTCACGGTAATCCAAAGTTAACTCATGTGTATATGAGGAATAATGCATTAGAAACTCTGGAAGCGTCTCATTTTCCGATTGACAGATTGCAAGAACTAGAAATATCTGGCAATCCATTCGTTTGCAATTGTTCAATTTTATGGCTTTGGAAACTAGGAAAAGAAAGTGAAGTCAGTCAAAAAAAATCTGGCAATGCTAGTTCAATATTGAAAATAGACTATGAAGATGTGAAATGTGCTGCACCGGAAAATTTAAAAGACGTTATATTTGTTAAAGTTCCTGAGTCTGAGTTTGGTTGTTCTAGTGGTTGGGTTATTGTTGCAGTTGTGGTGCTAACCGTGAGTATCGTTATTAGTATGGTCGGGGTTGTTTTGTACTTTATGGGACCTTTGAAGAAATGTAAGGGAGACAAATCAAAGCAGGTGATGACTAGTGTTATGTTGAATGGTGATGTGTCCAAATTAAGTAACGGGTTAGGGTATTCAACGAGAAGTAGGGAGCAAGACAACAAACGAGACGTCGATCGGTACCTAATGATCGGTTCATCTGTGACTAATAACTTCCATTCGTTAAATCCTCCATGGCATAGTGTAGATAAGAATCCATACTATCAAGAAGACAGCGAAGAACATATTTACCAACAGTTCGCCTATGAAACTATTCCACCCCATAGGACGCCAGAGAAACCACACATAGTGTACGTCTAACATAAGTTTTGCGCAAAGGACAATGTCGCAGATATATTCTTTGGCGCGTTATATGTATAAAGTCATTGTGTATCCAAAAGACATGGGACTTTGAATTCGCAATAATGTAAATAGTGATACGATTGAAATTGTAATATGTGATAGCTTTGTATATAGTCTTGTAAATAAAATTAATTCAGTTCATACGAAGAAAACTTAAAAAACTTCTGTTCTTAATTTTGTACTTAACTGATTTAAGAAGTTATTTTAGGGAAAACCAGCGGACTGTAAATTGAATGTTGGAGTGCCATCGCTGGTGTTTGAATTTTGTCCATCTTTTTGGAATGATTTATTGTTATGTAAGAGCAATGCTTTTGTTGCAATAAAGAGGTACATAAGTAGCTTTGTAGGTACAGTTGAGACTATTATACCCCTTCTTATTTCTAATTAAACCTTGTTACCTTTTCATAATAGAAATATAGGATGATCTCGACGATCATGGTACTGTTTTAATTACCTGTTCCTTTTACATTATGGGTACTCATATACTTTTAAGTGCTTTGTAAAAAAATCTTTTAATTATGTACTAAATTGATAAATCATGAGTAATTGTATATTCATATATTTTTGAATTAAAAACACCAATACTTGATGAAAACTTTGTACAAAGATGAGCAATATAGATTAATAATTTCAAATATTATAAAGTCGTTGATTTTATTCCAGTTATAGCTTACCTATTAGTTTGTATTTTAGAATGAAACCTTTTGACACGTGTATCTTGTGCTTAAATCATATAACATACATTTAACATGAAATATTATAATAGACACAGTATAATAAAGTAATAAACCAGCTGCTCTGATGGAAAAGGGTACAAAGTACGAATACTATTTTATTGGCTATTTTTATAAATTGATTTGTGGATTTTAATTTAATGCCTTTTTTTATAAATATTCTAAAATTGATATTTTTATACGTAGGTGATATGTATTGAAAGTTGATTTTAAAGAGGCCGGCTTAGATTTTTGTATTTTGTCTTGTCAATAACGTGTCAAAGTAGTAAGGAAATAAAAGAAAACGTATCACGAATACAGAATTTTTAAGCCAGCACTTCACTGGGCTATTTGTGTTTGCTATTAGTAAACTTGACATCAGCCTTTCTTTTCATTCCTTATAAAGCGTGGCAAACGTAGTGTAGGACATCCTCAAGCACAATGGAGTGACGATTTGCCCAAGGTGGCTGGCAGGAACTGGATGCGAGTAGCCCAAGGTCGATCTGATTGGCGTGCATTTGGAGAGGCCTATGTCTAGCAGTGGACTAAGATAATGATGAAAGCGTGATAAGGACAGACTGTTGTCAAGTTTACAAACAGCAAATACGAATAGTTAAGTAAAGTACAGGCATTAAATATTCTACAAAATGCACGTTTATATTTATCTTCGCAAAAGAACAATTCACTTTCAGAACTTGAAAATTACAAGAAAATTTGCCTTTTCTTTGTGTAAAATAAATATTAGTCTACTGTGTGTTTTTGTTCTTCACTTGCTTATTTGTCTAGTCCATTAATATTATAGCCGGCTTCTTTTTTAAAATCATCACAAACGTAACGGATGAATTGTAAACCTTATGAGTGAAGGTAATTTTATAACTATGAACCTTATTGAAATTCCATAAGATACACATTATAATAACCACAGAACACCATACCTATTCAGGCGATACCTACAGATGTACTAATAGAGTAAGGCTATTTATACATACTACTTAAAAAAAAACTTTTGTTATGAAACTTATTTAAATATATAACGCATTAAAACAAACGACGATTAAACCATTAATAAAAAATATGTTTGCATTTTTATTCCGTAGACACTTATTGCTCCATTCCATTATAATTTACATTAAGTAGGTACCGTCGCAGATCAATTGACCAAAATTTGTACTGATATCCACACACCAAGCTACCACTCCCTGTAAAGTTTTCTGAATAGACGCAAGTTTAGAACTTATTCTTTTATTTTGTTTTAAATTTACTTACGACAGCAGCTAAGAGTACCTATCGATTTTCCGGATATAATTGTAACACTGAAGTTCCAGCAACGAACACTATTCTTATCCAAATTTAGTCGTGTAAGTACAGTTTTTTCTCTTTGTCGTTATTATAATAGTAATATGTCACAGAAAAAGTTTAAATCGCGTTGAATTAAACAATAAAGCCTTATGGAAACACTGTTTTATGCTACTTAAATGAAGCCAGCACCTTCACAATTGAGCCAATGATAATGTCAAACCTGTTTGTTTGTTATCAGTCGAGTTAAACCTTGTCACTGAAACTTAGAATTCTATTTCTATTAGGTTCAAGAAAATGGAAATTAAATTAGGTTCTGGTTAAAGTAAAACGAAAACACAGGAGTATCAAGTGTGATAAATGAAATACAATACACTGGTCTGCAAAACTAAGTGTCACATTTAAATTGCAATAACTTTTAACGAAGAAGTATTTAATTTTGTATAATAAGTTTCAAAGAAAGTTGATAAAATTTTCTGTAAAATGTTTTTTGTTTGTAATTTCTTACTTTTATAGTATAGAAAAGAATAATAATAATGTGATTAGTATTTAGTTTTACAGGCCAGTTAGGACCATATTGTGCATTTTTTGAAAATATGAACTGAGACATTTTTTATCGTCAGGTGGAGTGGAGTATTTTTCTGCTCCCTGTAATAGTAAATAATGATATAAGTGCGGTAAGTTGAGAATTACCGAGCCGAGGCGATATCGTTAGACCGAGCCGTAGGGAAGGGCTATAACCGCTAAACCGCACGTATGTCATACGACGTTTTATAACACATTTGCGAGGAAATAATACTACCTACGTGCGTAGCTTTTGAAAATGAACTTGCACCTTTGTTTGTTTTCCATGATGAAATTTTGATACGCTTGACTGCAAGTATCTATCCGTGAATTTTTCGGGCAAGAGGTTTAGCGTAGCCTTTTTGGACTTCTGGTGTCAAATTAATAAATTCATTACTATTTGACAATATTTTCAAATAAAAACAATACATCGAAAAGAAATAACATTTTCACAGATTGCGCGCGATGCGCGCGGATTTTTAGCGCGTTTTTTAGGCAAAGGAACAAAAAACATGCCAGTGTTACTAATAAAGTAAATTAATATTTTTTGAATTTGTTACCGAAACATGGTTGTAATTTATTGTTAAAATGAATCAAATTAAAGAATTAAATGTTTATATATTATATTTTATCTCCCAAAGTCAATTTTATTAAGAAAATGTTGGCTACCTATCTGACATAAAAACTCTTTGCTAAGATTTAAAAAAGTATCGTTCGTTTTTAGACGGAACATAATAAGCCGTGCTTTTTACTTTACATTACCGCACGCGTGTGTAATGTAATAGATTATGATATTGAAATTGATGCAATAAGAGACGCTCTACGAGCAAATGTGTTATAAAAATATTTTTAACAAAAATAATAACCGACTTATTAAATACAAAACTAAAAAGGTAAGAAGTAATAATTATCACTTTTTTAATTCCTAAATACATTCAAAATAATATTGACAACATTTTCAGTTATTGCTCACCCAAGTAATGAATGGATGGGAACTTAGTTTCATTTGACGGGTATGGCATGTCGGTTTTCATTTTTCCGTACTTTTTATAAATCAGGGCAATGTCAGCTAACTAAGCTTAGATATCTAGCATGAATTCTCTCAGAATTATAGAGTTCATAAAATAACCAAAAGCAATATCCGAGGACTTACCTTGTGTAACGCGGAAAGTACTCATGACATCTTCACTAAATGTATAAGGGGAATAAAAAGGAATTATCAAAATCTGCCTGTATCAGAGTTCTGAGGTAACAAACATTATTATAGAACATAGCCGAATGGAGAACCACTTCCTTTTTGGAATCAGTAAAATAAGTATCCCATAAATGCTAGTTGTCCAGATAATCGCGATGTACGGGTGTCTAGTGGTCCGGTGGTAGTTAACTGGATTTAACTACCACCGGACCACTAGACACATAGCTTTCACCATTATACCGTCGATTTTTGACCCATCCGACTAAAATGCTTCGCTTCGGCATTTGTTATGTGAACTGCTGGGAAATACAATTGGCTCCCGGCGTCTGTGTTTCCTGAAACATATTAATTTAGATCTGTTTGAGGCTAGACTGAATGGGCATTTGTAGACTAGACAAGCGGGCTGCATCTTTGGCATTTCATTTTTATCCCACACCTGCGTGAAAAAGCTTCAGATGGTTTTGATACTAAAATGCGCTACAATTAGCGTTTGAACTTTGAATTAAGTTCGCTCCTTCAGCGGCAAATACAAATTTATCTTTTCCACAACCTCTTTTAGCGTTTCAAATTATCGCTAGTCAAGCTATCGTTTAGCGCAGCGGTATTCGTACTGCGGCCCGCTAGCCCTTAGAATGCGGCCGCGCGCGACACCACCACCGCCATCGCCGAGTTAGGGAATATATCACGGTGTCTTATTTAAAATAAAATCTATTTTTAATAAATATAAAAAAAAAGTTTGAAAAAAAGAAACAACTAAGAGATACCTACCTGAAATTGGGTAGTATTCTTAGTTCTCTTGTTTATATCAGGCTTCCATTTGCTACATGCTATTTTTATAGTATCATTGAGATGTTTGTCAGTCAATCGATTTCTGAAAATGTTTTTTATATATTTCATGTTCTAAGAATGAAGCTTCGCATACATTATATTGAAGGAAACATGGTTCATATTAAAAATGCACATTTTTTAAAGTTTTTAAATGTGTCCGGCAACAATTTCCAAAACGAAGATAATATTTTCATTTCTTTTTTCATCCATAATTGCTAACATATTTTAATCATTTTTCAATTTAATTCTCTAGTCAAATAGTTGAAATGCACGTATGCACGCATATGCACGTAAAAATAACTGTAATTATGCTACTCACACATCAAGAAACCAACAATGACACAATATACCGCCAAATACTACACATATACATATACCGTGAGTATGGCCAATTTTTATGCCCAACTCGACAGAGGGGAAAGCTGTGTATGCCTATTACTCTCCTTGCCGCATCGGCCGTTTTGCTCTATGAGTTAAAGTTACTTCTGTTACTATATCTGTGACAACAATATAGTAAGGTGACACGACATGACTAAATAACATTAAATTATTTGACATTTGTAATTGCAGCGCAGTTCTTTAACTATACTCTAGTAATAAAACTATATCTTGTTGTTGATACGGAAACAGCTGAGCTAGGCACAAGGTAAGCTAAGACCGTTTTACACTTAATAGACTTGTCATGGTGAAAGGGCCTTGGCTATTTGCATTTGACAACACGCAATAGTTTTATCAGTGTAGTTATTTTTTATTGTACCAATTAAATAGAAATGTATCAGCAAATACAAGGAACAGATTCGAGCTTGTTATTTACCTCAATTTGATGCTTGAATAATACAATATATAGGTAGGAAATATCATCTTTAAGGAAACCTTTTTACTTATACAGAGTGGAGCAAAAGTAATCACTCTATCGAAA